CTGACTGCTATTCAATCTATAACAGTGAAAAAAGTTTTTTGTTTTTAAATCCAAGTTATTGTGACACCAGATGTAAGTGGTGGCACTGACTGGGGAAATGGGCACAGTATGCACTGTGAGCCTGACACAGAAGCTGGCAGCAGTGGCAGACAACTGACTGCTATTCAATCTATAACAGTGAAAAAAGTTTTTTGTTTTTAAATCCAAGCTATTGTGACACCCAGATGTAAGTGGTGGCACTGACTGGGGAAATGGGCACAGTATGCACTGTGAGCCTGACACAGAAGCTGGCAGCAGTGGCAGACAACTAAGTGCAATTACATTACATAGAAAAAAAAAATTTAAAAAAGCATACCCTAACCCTAACCTAGCTATGCTTTTCCCTATCTAATGAACAGCAGCTACACTTTCCCTCCTCTTACTAAGCATGCAGCTTGAGAATGAATGTAAAATGGATGCCTTCCAGTAGGTGGGAGGGTCTGCTAGGAGGGTGTGCTGCTAATTGGCTGGAATGTGTCTGCTGACTGTGAGGTACAGGGTCAAAGTTTACTCAATGATGACGAATAGGGGGCGGGTCGAACCGCGCATATGTTCTCCCGCCGTGGCGAACGCGAACATGCTATGTTCGCCAGGAACCGTTCGCCGGCGAACCGTTCGGTACATCACTATTCAGAGGACGAATGGTGCGGCCTACATATTGTAGCCCACATGGACATATTAATAAAAAAATTAAACTTTTTACTAAAACATGTAATAAAAATCAGTCTACACATTTCCCACAGGAATAAAAACAACTTTTCCTGGCCATACATGACAGCATCACATATGGGTAAGCTCCTCCTCCCAGCTGTCAGGACAGGAATTATTAAACAATTAAATTCAATAAAAGCCTCCTCCCCTCTAGACCCCTCAGTCTTTTTTTCCTGTCCAAGTTGACAGAGAGGGATTTTGAGGTCCCTTTAAACAATATTTTATTTCTTGGCTCACTACCGTGTTTAACAGAGTTCTTCCAAGGGGAGTTCAGCCTCTCTCCCCCTGATGAAACCAGTAAACAGACTGCACTGGTAGCACTAACTGGTTTGTGTCTCTTTTTAGCAAAAGAGACTCACCGTGGACTGAACCACCAATCCTATCATTCCCAGAAGCAAGGACTAGACAGGTCTGACAGTACGTTTTTACCCCTTTATTTACCCCTAAGACATCTTACTGTTTCCAGTTACTTCACAGGGACCAGCATTGCATGGTTCCTGTATTACGGCTGTCATGCAGTATTCAGCGATGGAAGCTCCAGCATCGTGGCCGTGGGACTCTCATGCATGCGAGGTAAGTTTAAATAGCTGCGCGTGCGCCACCTAGTGGGATAAAAGTATACCGCGGCTAGAATTTGCCCAGGAAATATAAAAATTCAAGCGTTGGTGTAAGTGTAGGCTGCCTTGGCTTTCTGCATTCATCCACAAGGTTAGTTAAAGCTGAAATTTTGCTAAAATTGCACATGAAATATTTAAATATTTCTTGAATTATTCTAATTTGGTAACCTTGTTTATATTAGACGGATTCTTCTCCCACCTCCCTTAGAAGTGTATCAAGAAAACAAAAAGGTGAGTCCAGTTCATGGGGGTACAAAAAGAGTGCATTGACGGCCTGAAAGTAATAACATATGGCCTTGTCTTTTCAGCCCTAGAACTTCTCAGGATTCATCTCCAAGAAAGAGGACACAGAAAACTAATTGCTGCATGGGCTGCGGTTCAAAAGCCCCAGAGGGGAAGAACCTGTGCATGGAAGAAGTAGCGGAGAGGCAAACTAAAAGTAGCTCACCCCAAACTGACTTAAAATATGAATTTCAGATGCCATCTCTGAAGGGTTTCAGTCAGCATCTAAAGGGGCAACCAAAAGGTATAGAGAAGCTTCTGTCTTCAGGATCTAGCCTGGAGCTAAAGGATCCATACTTAGAAGATGAGGAATACTGTGAATACTGGAAATCTCTAGACTTGAGGAAAGTAGACAAACTAATATCTCTGGTTAGAAGCACCTTAAAAATCCCAGAAGATAGCAGGGAAGTATCAGCTTCAGATGTCTTCTTCGAAGACTTGAGATCTGCCAGACTTACTTTTCCGCTGCACTCGACTCTAAAAGAATTGGTCCATTCTGAATACAGAAGCTTCAACAATCTCTCTATCCCAAGATCGCATTGCTCGGATCAAGAACAAGATTTTAGAAATACTTCCAAGAACAAGACTTCGAGCAAAAGATTATATGAGTGTACTGGGATCCCTCACGTCGACCATACGTCTGGTCAGTTGGGCACATTGGAAGACGAGACAGGCTCAGATGAACTTCCTCACACAGATCAACAAGTCAGCAATGAACTGGGATCAATGGATCATAATTCCCCAAGACCTGATTCTTCAACTAAGGTGGTGGATATGGATCTAACTTGACCAAGGGTTTTCCCCTGGAAGATCCCCAATACGAAGCTATTACTACAGATGCAAGAGGATGGGGAGCTCTTTACAAGAACCTTGTTGCGCAAGTAGTATGGAACAACCAGACCCGTCTTCTCCACTCCAGGATCCTGGAGATGAGGGCAGTTTTGAAGGCACTGATGTCGTTTGCCACTTACCTGAAGGGGAAGAGGCTGTTGAGAAGAACAGACAACAGGGTGGTTACTGCCTACCTGAACCACCAATGAGGCACAAAGAGCTATCAGCTGCTTTGCAGCTACAACCAATTATGCATTGGGCCATGATTCACCTGAAAGACCTAAAAGAGGTATACTTACCTGGAACAGAAAATACCTTAGCAGACTTCCTGAGCAGAGCAAGTATAGAGCCAGGGGAATGGTCTCTAAACAGGGAAGTCTTCCTCTCATCTTTCTTCTTCCCCTTACAATACTTCCCTTAACATCACTCCCTCTGCTGTTCTATGTTCATTCGCACCCGCTACATAGGAAGAGGTTTCTGCTCTGCTCCAGTCCTCCCGCCCCACCACCTGCTCACTAGATCTAATTCCCTCGCATCTCATCCGCACTCTGTCTTCTCCTCTTTCTCCACCTCTCACTAAAATTCTCAATCTCTCTCTCTCCTCTGGTATATTTCCATTGCCCTTCAAACATGCAACTGTAATCCCAATTCTAAAGAAGCCCAATCTTGACCCTAACTCCCCATCCAAATATTGTCCTATCTCACTACTGCCTTTTGCATCCAAGATCCTTGAAAAAATTGTGTATGCGAGATTGACAGACTTCCTCAAGTCCAACTCTCTGCTAGACCCGCTTCAGTCTGGTTTCCGCGCTAAGCACTCTGTGGAAACAGCACTGACCAAAGTATCCAATGATCTACTCGCTGCAAAATCCCGTGGTCACTACTTTATCCTAATTCTCCTTGACCTGTCTGCGGCTTTTGACACTGTTGATCATCAACAGCTTCTTCTCATCCTCTGCAATATCGGTCTACAAGATATTGCTCTCTCCTGGTGCTCCTCCTACCTCTCCCAGCGCTCTTTCAGTGTTTCTTTCTCTGGCTCTGCTTCTTCTCCCCAACTCCTCTCTGTTGGTGTCCCCCAAGGTTCAGTCCTTGGTCCCCTACTGTTCTCCATCTATACTGCCTCCCTTGGTAAACTCATTAGCTCCTTTGGCTTCCGATATCATTTCTATGCAGATGACACGCAAATCTACCTGTCCTCTCCTGATCTCTCCCCGTCCCTCTTGACTAGTGTCTCTGACTGCCTCTCTGCTCTTTCTAACTGGATGGCTGCCCACTTCCTTAAACTAAACTGGACCAAAACTGAAATTCTGGTATTTCAGCCCTCAAGTGTTGTTACTCCTGTGTCTGTCTCCCTCCAAGTCAACGGTGCTACCATCAGGTCCACCACGCAGGCTCGCTGCCTAGGTGTTCTATTTGACTCCAACCTCTCCTTCAAGCCTCATGTTCAATCTATCGCCAAATCCTGTCATTTCCATCTCAAAAACATTGCGCACATCCGCCCCTACTTAACGCCAGATGCGACTAAGGTGTTGGTCCATTCCACTGTCCTTTCTCGCCTTGACTAGTGTAATCCACTTCTCAGTGGTCTTACGTGCTCCCAACTTGCATCGTTACAGTCCATAATGAATGCGGTGGCGAGGCTCATCTTCCTGTCCGCCCGCACCTCCCATGCCTCAGCCTTCTGTCAGTTCCTACATTGGCTTCCTATAAAATATAGAGCTCAATTTAATATTCTGGTTCTTGCTTTCAAATCTCTACATAATGATGCTCCCACCTATCTATCCTCCCTTATACACAAGTATGTCCCGTCTAGGCCCTTACGATCTGCTGAAGACTTATGTCTATTTTCTGTCCGTACTCCCACCTCTGATGCTCGCCTTTAAGATTTCTCGAGGGCTGCACCGTTCCTGTGGAACTCGCTTCCCTCCTCTGTTAGATGCTCACCCAGTCTCCACTCCTTTAAAAAATCGTTAAAAACACACTTCTTCATAAAAGCGTATCAATTAAACGGTTAATAGCTCCTGACTGATTCCTCTTCTGCAACTGTCACTAGTCTAATACTATCCTTACCTTTTTGTGTCATTTTACCCCACTCCCTCTAGCATGTAAGCTCATAGAGCAGGGCCCTCAACCCCTCTGTTCCTGTGTGTCCAACTTGTCTGGTTATAACTACATGTCTGTTCATCCACCCATTGTAAAGTGCTGCGTAATTTGACGGCGCTCTATAAATATCATCATAATAATAATACAGGTATGAGGACATGAGGAATCCTGCAAATAGACTTGATGGCCATGACGAGGAACTTGCAAACAACAAGATTCTACTCAAGATGGAAAGACAACCAACCAAGCCTATCCCAAAAGTGGGAGTTCGAGATTTTCACCAATACCACTGATCAGCAAAGTACTGAGGAAAATTTGGAAGAAGAATTGCACAGTGATCGCAATCATCCCATCATGGCCAAGGAGACTTTAGTTTCCGCTCCTGTTATGAATGAGCCAAAGAGTCCCAATAATACATCCACTGAGAGGGGATTTGCTTGTCCAGAGTCCAGCAGTGCATCCAGAGCCCCAGTGTCATGGCACAGCTGGAACCCTGCAGATAGCAAGGCGTGACTGCCCCATTAAGAGACCTGGCTGGGTTTGAACTCACAGCTCCAGCATCCCAGTCAGGTTCTCTGCCATGATATCCACCAAGGGGCTTCAGTTTCTGTTTGCATTATTCTGCTTCCTGACCTCTTGCCTGGAATGAGCAGTACTGATCCACCTGTAACCCTTTTCCAATTATGGTCAGCTGCATCTTATTAGCACGCTGTAAAAGCCAGCCCTGCCTGAAACCTATGATCTGGTCATTTTGCCTGTTTGGTGTTTCCTGCCAGATCTCTGCTTCGCTACTGACTGATTTCCTGGACTCTGACCTCTGCCTGCTTTACCGACTATGTTACTCCGCTACCAGCCCTGACTTCTGCTTCTCGTCTGACCCTGCCTTTGGATTTCCCCTTAATCTGTACTGCACTTCAGGTTTTTGCCTCCTTCCTGTGCCATTTCCTGCAACTGGGCTCCAACTCCTGGTAAACTGTTACATAAGTCCCCAGGTGACTGTTACACCCAGTCACTTCAGTTAGCGGCATGGTTCTTGAGAAAAAACTCTTGAAATCGGGCCTGTCAGTCTGTCTCTAATACTCTACTAAGATCCAGGAAATGCTCTGTTATAAAATATGGATGGTGGATAAGGGAATCCCTTGTGATTCACCTAGCGTGGCAGATGTCTTGTACTTCCTTCAAGAGGTTCTGGATAAAGGGCTTAGTCTGAGCACTCTGAAAGTTCACGTTTCGGCAATTTCAGCCTTGGCAAATTCCAGATGAGCTCTGTATCCTCTCGTAATTAGGTTTTTTAGAGCAGTTTTGAGGATTAGACCACCTACCAAACAGTTGGCGCCTCCTTGCGACTTACCTCTAGTACTAAATGCTCTCATTAAAGTACCATTTGAGCCACTAGAAGAAATAGGAATTTATTTTGCCATGAAAACTCTATTCATAAAAGCTATTACATTGGCCAGAAGAGTATCAGAGATCCAGGCATTGAGTTCTGAAGAACCTTATACTGTGTTCCATCAGGATAGGGTGGTGCTGGTTACTAAACCTGACTTTCTTCCAAAAGTAGTTTCTCGATTCCACATTCAACAAGAAATTGTTCTACCTACATTCTATCCGAATCTGGCTAACAAAGAAGAATTAGGATGGAGTATACTGGATGTGATGAGATGCCTAAGTGTCTACTTATTCTACCTTCAGGCAGTAAAAAAGAAGAAGCAGCATCAACTACAACATTGAGAAGATGGCTTTCTCTAGTGATTAAAAGGTTTACACTTCCCAAGGCCATCAGGCGCCGAGTGTCATCAAACCACACTCAACAAGAAAGACCTGGCTACTTCATGGGCTTCAATAGCGGAGGTGCTGGTTGAGGATATCTGTAAGGCAGCTACATGGTCCTCTCCGATTACATTTGTCAATCACTACAAACTAGATTTGTCTTCCTCAAATGAGGCTCACTTTGGGAAGGTTGTTCTTGCTTCTGTGGAAGAATAAGTTGAATAAATACTTTGATTTCTTTCAGCATCAATAACGACTACTGTATTCAATGCCTTTTGTTTAGACCCCACCCTTCTTCGGAGCTTGGGTAATACCCATATGTGATGCTGCCATGTATGGCCAGGAAAGTATAATTTTTTTTCATACTTACCGTTATTTTCTTTTCCGGGGTATTCTACATGGCAGCATCATGCTCCCTTCTGGATTCTTCAACTGGAGCTATTTTAACAAGACTGGGGGGGTCTAGAGGGGAGGGGGCTTTTATTGGATTTGTTTAATTATTCCTATCCTGACAGCTGGGAGTCTGAGCTTATTCATATGTGATGCTGCCATGTATAATAGCCAGGAAAAGAAAATAACGGTAAGTATGGAAAGAATTTTCTACATTATTGTTAAGAAATGTCGTTGTTGTTTCAATTCTAGGGTGAGTAAAAGTCAACATTCGTTTAAAATTAGTTGCTCCTCTATTTGTAATAAATGGCTTTTCTGGAATCATTTTGGATAATTCCTTAGCTTTTTTTTAAAAGGGGCAGATGTTTGTTAATTATATATTTGATCTTTCCAAAAATCATTATTAAAATAAAAAGCAAAGGCATAGTATTATCTTTATTTTTCTCAATTAAAACTTTATCCTTAAAAATTAGCTGATCCTATCCAATTTGCTTACGTCATCTAAAGCTTTATTTAGTATTGTTTTAGGATATTTCTTTTCCGTAGATTTATTTATTAACCCCTTAAGGACTGGACTGTTTTTGTGATATTGTGTAAATTTGCGACCATGCATATTTTTACACTTTTGTGGTGTTTGTGTTTAGCTGTAATTTTCCGCTCTCTCATTTACTGTTCCCATACAAACTATATATCGTTTTTTTCAGGACAAAAGGGGCTTTCTTTACATACCATTATTTATATAATCTCATGTATTTTAATTTAAAAAAGTAAAAAAAAATGATGAAAAATTGGAAAAAAAATACATGTTTTTTTACTCTTACTTGTAAATCTTTTACTCATCTACAAAAGTGAATGAAAAAAACTGCTAAATAGATTCAAAATTTTGTCCTGAGTTTAAAAATACCCAGTGTTTACGTGCTTTTTTGCATGTTATAGGGCTATAGGTACAAGTAGGATATTGCGATTTCAAAACATACATTTTTAAAATTTATCAATAGTGACATTGTAACACTATTATCGGTCATAAATCTCTGAATAACACCCCACATGTACATATTTTTAAGTAGACAACCCAGGGTATATAATATGGGGTATGTCCAGTCTTTTTTAGTAGATACTTAGTCAAAAACACTGGCCAAATTAAGCATTCATATTTGTTTGAGTGTGAAAAAAGTAAAAAAAACTAAATTGAACGCTAATTTTGGCCAGTGTTTGTGACTAAGTGGTTACTAAAAAAGACTGGACATACCCCATTTGCAATACCTTGGGTTGTCTTTTTTTTGCAACTGGTATGCCATCATGGGGGTAATTCTCATTCCTGGGCTACCATACGCTCTCAAAGGCAACGTAACCATCCTGGCCATTTTCAATGTAAAAATATTTGACCCATATATTTGACCCTGTAACTTTCAAAAATGCTATAAAACCTGTACATGGGGGGGGGGGGGTACTGTTTTACTTGGGAGTCTTTGCTGAACACAAATATTAGTGTTTAAAAACTGGAAAACATATCAGGACAATTATATCATCAGTAAAAGTGCTGTTTGTGTGTGGAAAATGCAAAAAAAGTCACTTTCACTGACAATATCATCGCTGTGATATGTTTTACTGTTTTGAATCACTAATATTTGTGTTCAGCAAAGTCTCCCGAGTAAAACAGTACCCCCCATGTACAGGTTTTAGGGTGTCGTAGAACGTTACAGGGTAAAATACAGTGCTAGCAAATTAAATTCTCTGGACTTTTGGCCTGGGTTGGCAGGCAGGTCCCTCAAATTGCAATCAATAAAATTACTTAATTATGTAAAAATATTACATAAATATGCACGTAGAATTTAAATATATATGCATATTTATATATGTGAAGTCTACGTGTATATTTATATAATTATTTATGTAATTTTGTATATGGACATGTATATTTCGTATTATTTTTATTTATTTATATATACATAGATATATCTACAAATTCATTCTAAGTGTATTTTGATATAAATATATATTAATTTTAAAATACAGTTAGAATAAAATTTCATATAGATATAATTTTTTTTTCAATTTTTATTTGTAAATATATTTTTTATTGGTTTATCTTATAATCACATATTGTGGCATGGGATTGAGACTCGCAGGTCTCGCATATATTCTGTGAGTCAAGATATTTAACTTTAAATGCAAAAGGTGCAGACACGCAGGTCTGGTAACATAGTGGAACAACAGGGACACGCAGGTCCCGTAACGTACATCTGATAACCATATTAACATAGTTTGTCACGCGGCCCTGTGGTTTGACAGAGTAATTTAAACATCTTAACATCTTAATACAGTCTTTATGTGATAATGTTGCCTATACTATGTCATATATATATTTTTTTTTTAATCAGTCTGTATTTACTTATTGAGGCATAGGTCAGATACACAATGCAGCACTGTGGCGACAACAACACAGGTAGACAATCATGAGAGAATTAATGGTATAATATCCGGGCATTACCAATATTATCACATGTCGGTATAAAACATTAGAAGTGCAAAGCTATACTTCAGCTTGTCTCTTATTCTAGTTTTCTTTTTTTTTTGTGTGAGTTTAAATTTTTATGGTTGTTTTATCCGTATCCGTGTATCCTATATTTTAAGGTTAGTGACAGCGTGGACCAGGGCCGGACTGGCCCACCAGGATTCTGGGAAATTTCCCGGTGGGCTGTCGGCACCTGGGGCCGGGCAGACACCTGGGTCTGCTGTCGGCCGCTGGGGAGGTCTTCTGGAGGTTGCTGGGGAGGTCTTCTGGCAGCCGCTGGAGGACTTGTCCTGGCGGCCTCTGGGGGGAGCTGCGCTGGCTCTGCTCCCCAGCGCGCAGCTGAATGAGACCGGCGCCGGAATATGACGTCATATTCCGGCGCCGGTCTCATTTAGCAGCGCGCAAGGGCGGGAGAGCACAGAAAGCGCAGGTCCCCCAGCGGCCGCCAGGACAAGTCCTCCAGCGGCTGCCAGAAGACCTCCCCAGTGGCCTCCAGAAGACCTCCCCCTGGTGTCAGGTACTAGTAATGTGTCTGTCTGTGTTATGGTGTCTGTCTGTATGGTGTGTGTGTCTGTCCGTGTCATGGTGTCCGTCTGTATGGTGTGTATGTGTGTGTCTGTGTCATAGTGTCTGTATGTATGGTGTGTGTGTCTGTCTGTCTGTCTGTGTCATGGTGTCTGTCTGTCTGTGTCATTGTGTGTGTGTGTCTGTCTGTGTCATAGTGTCTGTCTGTATGGTGTGTGTCTGTCTGTCCGTCATGGGGTGTGTATGTGTCTGTCTGTCCGTCACTGGGTGTGTGTGTCTGTCTGTCCGTCACGGGGTGTGTGTGTCTGTCTGTCCGTCACGGGGTGTGTGTGTCTGTCTGTCCGTCATGGGGTGTGTGTGTGTCTGTCTGTCATGGGGTGTGTGTGTGTGTCTGTCATGGGGTGTGTGTGTGTGTGTGTCTGTCCGTCATGGGGTGTGTGTGTGTATGTGTGTCTGTCCGTCATGGGGTGTGTGTGTCTGTCCATCATGGTGTGTGTGTCTGTGTCTGTCATGGGGTGTGTATCTGTCATGGTATATGTGTGTTTCTGTGTCTGTCATGGTGTAAATGTGTGTTTAAAAATAGTGTTTTTGCTCACCTTTTTTTTTTTTCCCCACGCAGCGTGCTGGTCTCCCCTCGACTGGCCCTGGTGGAGTGTTTGTTAGGTGGCCGTATGTGCGTGATGTGTTGGTCATGTGGTGATTGTCGGTAAATTGTGTTTGGTGTGTATAGGGGTTATAGTGTGTATGAGTGGGCTGGGGAGAGAGGGACAAAGGCCCTCCCTAGCTCCTTTCCCCACCAGCCGTCCCCTCCGTTCCCCTGTCCCGCCATGTACATTATCCAAGGCTGCCATTTGTCCACGTGTTTTGTGAGGGTGTCCCTCAAAGTCGCGTGTATTTCTTCTGCAACTCTGATGTCCTCTACCCTGGTTAACCATTGTTCCATTGTAGGGGTTTGTGTCGTTTTCCAGAGGGCCGGGATTAGTGCCTTGGCTGCGTCGAGGAGGTGGCGCAGGATAGATCGTTTGTATTTTGAGATCGGGTCCCCTGTGTGGTGTTAATTGCGTTGTATCCCCTAGTACGTCCTTGATGCGGGTTATGATCTGATTCCAGAACGGTTTGATATCAGTACATTCCCACCAAATGTGTTTCAGCATTCCTGCTTCTGTCTCGCATCTCCAGCATGTCGCTGGGGTGATGGGGAATATTTTGTGAAGGAGGTCTGGGGTTCGGTACCAGAATGTCAATAGTTTGTAGTTCATTTCTTGGTAATATGAACTAATGGTAGATTTGTGGTGGAGGATGAGAATTTTGTCCCATTGTGCATCGGTGAATAACCTGTCAGTGATGCTTTCCCATTTTTCTTTGTATCTCC